ACCTAAAATAGGGTTACTCAAAGTGTCTCCAAAACAAACTTTGAAGTCACAGTTACTGATGTGGTATTGCTACTACTTTGATGTTATCTTCCCATGCCACAGTAAAGTAACACGGACACTGTTACAAAGGATAGGCCACTCCTTCGCTTTTCATCTTCCCCGGACGGCTTGTTTTCTTTTTTCCCACCGCCATCTTTGGTTAAGAAATAAAACAGATGAAAAGGTCCCGCCGGTAACGCGCAGATCAGAGGAAAAATAGATGTGAGAAACTTCAAGGAAGGACGCGGTAAACAGGAAAGACTGGTGGCCTCGGTCGTTAGCGCATTTCCTGCCGTATTAGCGTCAAACATATATGATCATAATGGGGGAAAATAATAGGTGAAATCGGCGACCGAATGGATGAAACGTGCGGTAAGTAAAAACAGTCGCATAGCCTGAAGCCTTGATGTAGCTGTAAAAGAGCTATAAATGTGGTAAACAGGGGGGATGTTGGCAATTTTCGAATTCTAGCCGCTGAAATCTCGCAAAAATACATTTTCTTTACCACATTATTCCACCTTTTCTTAGGAGACGTCATAGGATGCAGATGACAAATTTAAAGAGCATTTCATCATGACAAAAATGGACCTCTTGGTCATAAATACCTGGGTACATGTGTGTACGATATGATTCTTGTTTGCTGTTCAATGTGACTAACGCTGTGACAGACGGGATTGCTGACCTTGTCGTAAGTGTATTTCCTGCCCGAATTAGGACGCGGAGTCTAACGTTACCCGCCGTCAAACGTGAGACGTGCGGTTCGTGCTCGGAGCGACACACCGCCGGGTGAAAATAAATTGCTATGAAACTAATAGCAATTTGCGGTGTTGGTAAGACGAGTGGGTGGCGGGCCTGTGAAGTCGTGGCCTTGCCGTTCGCATTTTTTTCTCCCGCCTTGATTGGAGGTTAAAAATTGACATTTTTACCTTGGCCAGTTTTCAGGGACGTTGGTTACATGTTCGCTCTGACGGAAGACCATGAAAATGAGTTGTGAGGTCTAAAAGTCTGGATACATATTGATGACTGTTGTATATATGTTTATGCAACAAATAAATACATTAAGACAGGTCATAAATTTCCTACATGTAGTGTAGGGGTTTCTACAAGACTAGTGAAATACAACATCGACGAATGTTGACTCAGAAAGACTATAGTTTGCTCTCACAACGTATTACAATCATGTTTTTCCTTTCAAATCACTGAAGGCACGTTTGATGAATGCAAAAAAATTAGACCTGAAGAAAATTACTCTCTATGATAAAACAACAAAACAACAAGACACAATAAGTGCCGGTCGAAACCTCAGCTTTGAAAGTATGTAACAGAAACTTCAAGATGTGGTGTTTGTCCCGTTAAATAGTTGTTGACTTGCTTTGTTTTTCACGTTCTGCAAAGTTGGTTTGGATTTTCTGACTTCCAATAACTAGTCCCATGAGAAAACATTCACTTGGCGCAAATATACATGTATTGCTAGGCAGCCTTGTGTCAGAATAAATGGATATAGAAGAGCGATGCGAGCAGAGACCAAAGAAAGGAGGCGCGCGCTCATGACCTTTGCGCCAGTGTTGTTTCCTGTTTGTATTGGACATGAAGTATAGACATTCGTCATCATCAAATCCACATCGCTGTCGGGCGGACGGATAGTTCGGCAATCTCGTGCTGTATGAGTCACGCAGACATTACCGGTGTCATGCATATATGCATGTTCGAGTAGATTCTATTCGCTGATTCATTTATTTATCATTCATCTATCGAGATTTAACACACGTTGTGGAAGGATTGACATAATAGTCACTATCACACTTTCAAGATGTTGAAACGGAGACAATTAAGACTGTAAGGTTTGAACCACTCACACCGGGAAGGACCCTACTCTTTTCGAGGTGTTGCTCTCAAATATGGGAGCTTCGGTTTAGGTCATTCGAACCCAGACCCTTCAGATTCTGAGTCGACAACAATGCCACCTTGTCCGCGATCCGTGACCTTGTTAATGCTAATGATATATGGAAAGCTGATTCGGCGGGCGTTCTGGGTTGTCAGTGATAATAGCTTGCTCTTCGGAGCTGATTGGTTGGAAAATTCAGATGTATGTGGTATGGAGAAGTCGAATTGTTCAGATAACGTGTGTACGTTTATCAAAGTCGCACAGAAGTCGTGTTTACAGCGAACCCCTATCTTCAGCATGATTCCGATCATTCTACCATCTACAAATCATTACTAAGTATCAGCTCCTCTGTACTTCCCAACTTTTCCACCTGTTAACTTCACCTGGGTGTCAGAAAAGGGGCACTGGGCAATGTATGAGTATTGGATATGTTCTATTCCAAATTCTCAGGGCTCTTCAAACTCCAATTTGGATGTTTTTGAAACCGTCGAAAAAAAGAACAAAATGTTTTCGTCTACTTAGTACATCTGTATCGGTATAGCCGGTATAACCGCCCTTCGGCGTAACACACCAGCTTTGCAGGCGCTTGGAGCGGCGGCAGCTAGCTATATCACACCGAACGACTTGTTACGCTCAATCCTTGCACATATAATTGCAGAAGTTGCCTAAAGCTTTCTAGTGATGATGCCCCAACTGTTCTTGGTGGCAACGAGTTCCACTCAACAAAAGTTCTTGGAAAATACGAGTTTTTGTACACCTCAATTCTTGGTTGATAACTCTGATATTTGAAGGCATGACTGTTTCTTGTTCTTTTCTGGGCTGGTATCAGATTTTAGTAGTTGGTACGTCCACCAGTTTATTAGTCATTTTGTACATCGTGCATAGTTTGGACATATCCTTGTGATGTTTATTTCTAAACGTGTATTGTTAATGATATTAGACCCTTTAAACATGCTAGACCATGTCCAATGTTTTTTTAGTTCGTCAAGGTCAAGTTTTGGGACTCAAACATGATAATCTGGAACCTGCCCCCCTAGGAGACCTGTGATATATAGAAAGTGACGTTTTAACACAGCGTGACAGATGCTGCCGCCCCCCTCCCCCATCCCGCAGCTGTGCCCGTGACGACCTTGTTTACTCTGCGCAGCCGTGGGATCCAAAACCGTCCGTCCTTGAGCCTGGCAATGACCGTGACCTTGACTTCAGCATGACCCGTTAAGGCGGATCACGTGTGGGCTAAATCCGGGCACGGCCGGGGTTACCCAGGGTCGTTCACCTGCACTTGTCTTGGTTCCAACGACTTATCTCCAAGCAGATGATAGGAAGAAGTTCTATAAATGTATGCTCTTATCTTTTCACCATTTCTAGGAGAAGTCGAATTTACGTAAATAGACCGATACGGATAATGCTACTAAGCTTGATCAAGTATACATGTGAGTATTATATACAAGCTATTCCTTTATGTTTGTACAATAAATGTCTTCATTCATTCAATTCACTCATCCTTATAAAACTCTCCGTTACTAGAGGGGCAAACAGGCATATTAGGTACTTTTTATTTGTTTGTCCTTTCACTGCTTGAACATCTGCTGGAATTATCCCACCAGCGCTAGCTTGTATAAAAAGCCTCCACTCAATCAATGAGACAAGCTGATTCCCCTCGTAGACTGAGATATATAACTATCAATTTTGTTACAGGTCATTCAACTGTTGTTTTTGGAGTCCATACCATCTGCTGTCGGTAGAATGTTAGAGGGCGGGCGATAGTTACATGGCGGGCGGGAAATGTGCACCCACCTCTTCAATTACAGTTGGGAAGCCATTTGTCAAATTCCGGCGTGCCATGCCGGGTTATCTCAGGTCATTCTCCTGCACTTGACAGCCTCGAGCTAGCTTCTGTCGGTGTGACGTGAAATGACGTCAGGCAGATGTTTGTACGTCCTGGAATATCCGCACACTTAGAACTCATGATCCGAACTTTGGGAGGGTGGCGTGTCATTAAAAAGCTTTGGCTTTATTGAAGAAAACGTCGCGATTTGCCCCCACATCTGCTTGGGGATTGATTAAGCGTCAGTGTGGGAAACGGTTAGCGGTTAGCCTGATTATGATAAGGAAACCACTTTTCACCTTCCAAGGGCACCATGTTATAGAACCTACACTTAATAAACGTTACACATCTCCTTACTGTATGTACATGTACATGTACATTTCATATGATAATCCCCGATCCTAAAGTGTAATCTAAAAAGGCATGACTCAGTATAACGTCACTGTGTCAAGGGGTTTGCCTCCTAGACTGTATGTATCTTTTAATTTCTTTTTGTTGTAAAAGATATTCTACGCGTTAAGAATTCTCTGGTTTAACGTTATCTAAGTTGTGGCCACTCTATAGAAACCATCGGAAACGCCGGTAGCTAACACTGTAACGTTACACTGCTGTCAGAATAAACATAGCAGAGCGGTTATAAATCTGCCGACGGCATTGTGCGCCGCCTCCATGTGTGGGGGTTAATACCGGTCATGGCCTTGAAGTTTCTCAGTAAGAGGGAGGGGGGCGATGGCAAGTCACTTCAGGCAAGATAGAGAACTTCTTAGAAACCATTATGCATAGCGTGTGCGTATCAGGAACAAAAGGCCGGATCTTCGACTTTATTTTTGGTTAATAACATTCAGGGGAACTATCATGATGGGTATCCTTCAGGAAGGAAACACTGTTCAAGCATTGTACAATAATAATGGATGCAGTGAGTGGGAAACGAAATACATTTTCTTTGTAAATGCCATCTTTGTGAGAGAGAAGAAACGCTTTTTCAGACAGTTCGCACAATCTCACCGAGCTTCCACCAGCTGAAAACCTTTTAGAAGTAAGATCACAAAATCCTCCTCAAAGCCCTCAGCAGGAATATGCACCTTATAAAACATCAAGATCTATACTATAGACGATGCGTTTTCCTTTTCATGTTATGGTATCTCTGTGTTACTTTGCCCTTAGGCATGATTTTGTACATAAAAAACAATAAATTAAACGCTAAAGAACCTGTGCACAGAACAAAGTAGGACCCCTGGAGACAAAATGGAACTTCTTATCTTGTTTTATTGAACAACTCAACTCAAACTCATGAAAATATTACTAGCTGGAACTGAACACTTCACACAATGCAGCAATGGCTAAACCAAGCAGTATTATACAGATAACGCTATATTGAATTGAAGTAAACCCTCCAGGTGTAGAAATATCAGACCTTCAGCTCCCTACACCAGACAAAAACAACCCCAAATCTCCCAACTTAACCTTCACAACCAGTCTTAACTCTTAGGCATAGAAAGATAAAGCCTTTCCCTGCACATGTTACATCATTGATCAAGTACTTATTCATCAATCAAGTACTTGTTCCACTTGAAATATACAAACACAAATGCACAGAATACTTGTTTATAACATGACAGTTCAGCAGATAAACCATCAACTGCAATTGTTGAAACTTAGCATTATGGCTACTTTTAAAGAAAATACTGTTGTACAACTCTTGCTCATTACCTTTACATTCTAGTGGTCTTTTTTTCTCTCAAAAGAAAGCTGCATTGGACTTTTCCTTTCCTTCATCAAACACACACACAAAAAAAAACACTTGGAAACATTGATATTGCAACAGTGGGACCTCTCTCTCCTTGACCCCAGCCTAACCTCTGTATGAAATATTAATAATGATAACATCGAATATCTAATTTGTCAGGAATTGGAACCCAAGACATCCTGTCATAACTCCAGTTGTCAAGACACCATGCCAGGCCCCATTTTCATTTTCAGCATTTTAAAAGCCAGTCAACATGATCAGAGCAAAGTTTAGTCAAAACTGCCAAAGTAGTTAAGTGGACCACTCAGGGGACCGATACAATTTGATCTATGTGAATGGTGATTGCTACAGAGAGAGTTCTTAATTATTGTGTCAATGGGAAAAATTATCTAAGGGACCACCAGTAAGTGGCCATATGGCCCATTTCTGTAGAAGTGGTCACTTGTACTAAGAAGGTTGTTGGGCTACAACCTCCTCGCTTGTACAGTTTTGAGGGTGCATGAAGTTGATAATATTCTAGTTTTCATGGCAGGGTAACAATGACAGATATATATAATATCAACTGTTCAAATTTTCACAGAAACATTCACCTTGTAGCAGAAGGGATAACCAGTTACCAGCATGGCTAAACCTTCAAAGTCACTATCCTGAAAAATTTAAACTATTCCAGTTTTTACTCAGCCACCTACACAACATGCAACATGAAACTTGGTCCCTCTCAGTTAAACAATAAAATATCCGCTTTAAACATCATGATCAAGTATTGTACACATATTTCAGCGTGTCACCTTTCTACCTACTCAACACTGGATATCGAATATAATCAACATCACTTTATAATTATATAAGCATAACTTCTATCAGCTATTCCAGCTGGCAACGTTTCATATGGATGTAAATTATAGATCCTATATAGCAGTAGGTTTTTATGCTTACTTTTTATTCAACAGCTTTCATGTCTACAGCAGATATAATTGCTTTGTACAATAGTGAAAATAGAACAGTTTTCTTTCAATTGTGGTTCTGAAAGCATCATAAGTTACAAGCTACATAACTGGTTTGAAAAACATATATGGCAATGTAGGTGCAACTGTGGGTACAACAGCATAATTTCATAACTTCATTTGAGTAATCTACAACAGTGCCTACACAAACCCAGAGTTATCTATCTGTACAGACAGTATAACGGTTGTCTATTAACTAAATATATATCTTCACCCTGTACATGTATATGTCATCAGTCAGTGTGCAGACAGCGTGGTGGATGATGGGATTGTTTGGAGAGAAAACAGCAACCATGTTTGACTCAAAGGTCGTATCCACAGCGGAGATTCCTTCTCAAGGTCATGTGTGAGATTTGACGAGGCGAAAATTGATGCGCGCTTGGCATTCTCCAGAGACTAGGGGGAATCTCCTTCGACCTTGGAATATATTGGCTGCTGCCGGTAACATGATACACACATTCAGCGATTGCACAGGGAAAAAAACTCATCTACAATATGGTAACTGCTTCTAATGATGCCTGCGTGCGTCCACGTAAAGGGTAATCATAACCCATAATGAAGTGTATATAGACAGAATAAATCTGTACCCATGCCTTGTGATGAACTGAGTATATTTATCCATAAGTCAGCAAGCTGCACAGAATACTGGTCACTTCTGATGGGGAAAGACAGCTTCAATAGCAATTTGGAACCCCCAATACATTTTTTAGAGTCAGACATCTCAATTTCAATGAAATAAAGGAACAATATATAAAGGGAAATATGTTTTTTCAAATGAAATGCAATGTTAGGCCTTAAAAGAAGAAGTAGTAGTAACAAATGGACATGGGGCTTTCACATTAAGTGCATTGGACTTTCCAAATCCAAAATGACCAGTGTTAAAAACAAGCAGACCAGCAATACAGAAGTCAAGATGACTGGATGATACTATTAGGTTTGGGCCAGAGTACAGCAATATAAGCATCTTATTAGACATTCAGTTGAGAAAACAGAAGCTGGGCCTGCAATATGGATAAATGCTGCAAACCCTGCAAACTTTCTCTACTGTTTTCTACTTAACAATTTGTTGAAGATATTCATTGAAGAAAAACAGCTTCAATATTCATTACAACGTAAAATACCCACAAGGAATCAAGTAATTTGTCAGCTACATAGGCGAGGCTCTGGAGATCAAAGGTTTGTTTTATCTAGAAGCTGCTATGACCGGTGTGGCGTACATCCCAGCATGCACCAGACGGCGGCGAGCCAATCAGCAGCCCTTCAGCAGCATGTCCGTCAGGATGACCTCCATGTCGATGGCGCCGATGAGAGGTCGGAAGAACAGCTCGGTGACGATCTTGGGTTTGATGCTGCGGAGCGCGGGGAGGCCCAGGAGGATGCGAGCGAAGCGCAGGGGCTGGCGCGGGTATCTGGCAGTGGTGTACTCGTTCAGGGACTGGTGGGCACTGTTCTGTAGGATCTCCACTTGTCTCCCGTCTGCCAGGCCTGGAACATCTGCATGGGGGGGAGGGGGGCGGGAAGGTCAAGGTCAGTAAGATCATCATAACATGTAGTGCCAGTAACATAATTATAAACACTGGGAACTTGGGGCCTGGTTTGGGGACTGTTGTCTCCTATCTTCTAGGCAAATTAGAACATACAATAGTACCTGCAGTGAGGTGGAAGCAGCCCTTATGATGTTCTGACATCCCTACAATTCTGACATAGGCATGGTGTTGTTGAAGAGCACAGGGTTGTAACATGGTATTGACAAGGTCAACAAATTTAAAAGGCAGGTCCTAGCTATTAAATCAAAAGGAAAACTTGCCCAATCATATCAATAATGAATGTCACATTTACAATTTAGTCTCTATGTTATATATTATTTGCTCATTTGATGGACAGGAAAAATTGGTGCATTTTACATTCTCTACCACCTGACTAAACAAATCCAAGGCTAAAAACTGTGCCATGAATCACTTAAGGTTAGACAGATTAGTCAAATTTAGCATGCTGATGCTGATGCTCGAGCATACACAAAATACCACGGCTATGATCTCACTTATACACATCACTACTGTAGCAGTACTCAGACAACAGTTGTGCTTCCCATCAGTTCTATTTTCAATTCTATCACATTTACAATGACTTGTGGTCTCTGAAAAATAAAATGCTAGTAATCAAAACAAGTCCCTTCTAACTTCTGATTCTAAGTCCAGAATGACTGAAATTTAGTGCTTCTCATCATTTCTATTTTCAATTCTATCACATTGACTTAGTGGTCTCTGAAAAATAAAATGCTACTGTAACCAAAACAAGTCCCTTATAGCTTATGAACTCTAAGTCCAGAATCATTGAAATTTGGTTCTACCCATTTAGTACAATCTTGTCACTTGTGTCCTTGTAGGCAACTGAATTACAGGTGAATTATTGGGCAATTTCGTGCAGACTTCAATGCATTCTGCTGTCTTCAAGTCTGTTTGAAATAGCGTCAAAGAGAGTAACATTACTGGTAGTGCTATTGCATCTCATCACAGTGATGGATACATGAAGAGGCAATTTTCCTTTCTGAGAAGGCCAGACATGATAAGATGGTCTATTAATATAACACAAGGTCACAACTATGTCCTTGGAGTCCCTGGGGAGAGATCTCGCAGGACCCCAGACATAGAAGTTCACCCCCCTCCCCCACAGCTGGCTGGTGAAGGTTAGCTCAAGGTTGTCTGCATATTCCGACCTATAACCACACTGAGAACGATATGGGATACTTGGATTGGCTATTGTCCTTAATCTATAAGCAGATCCCTTGTGGTGGCAAGACAGTATCCATTAGCAAGAGGAGTTTGCACCGCCACTGAAGCCTTTGACATTTCAATTGTCCGCAGATTTTTTGGTGGCGGTGCAAACTCCTATGGCTAATGGACACTGTATTGTCACCAAAAGAGATCTGCTTGGAGGTTATATTGTATTGCCATGGCCTGTACATGTCACTTTGCTAACTTCAACAATTGAATAAATGCAGGAAAATCATCAAAATGATTGAGTAAAAGAATGAATTAACAAGTGACAAAGTCATGTATGATTGTATTTTGCAGACATTGGCCTTTGACATTCAAAACTGCAGGAAAAACATAAACATTACATACACATTGTACGTACGTACGTACGTTTCTACAGGATGTAACACCAGAGGACACTGTTTGTTTAGGGAGATGGCTGATATCCTACATCTATTGATCATCCCTAGACTATAGCTACCTGCTACAAAAACAAACCTTCCTGTTCATGACATTTTGACTCTTCCCAGAAAAGCTAGCTGACATAACCTACATGTAGTACACAGGAATGTTCAAGCCTTTGTCTGTGATCATCTGGTAACCTTTAACATTGTCAGGCTGTGCATGATGTACAATTGGAGACAAAAACAAGCATTTAGCTGTGTGCCAATCATGCAATCAGCAAAAAATAAGTACTGTCTGGTACCTTAAAGCAGCTCAAAGAAAGGAGAAAGAAGAGTATTGACTACAAGTATCAGCTCAGAATTATCCAAACCACTAATACTGAATAGAACTAGTTGTAATCATAGCATATGCTGTCATCAAGTGATAAGGGGTGATTATCAAATAATCACCAAGTTTGAATACACATATACTTGACTACAATGCACATACAAGCATGTGATGTTAACTTATACAAACAATTGTAACACAATAACTCATACACAACATAACTCATGACATACACTCCATAACCACCTACCCAATGTTATCATTTTTCGTATCTAAAATTGCTTCAAAATCGGACCAAAAAAGAAGAAGAACCATTCCTGTGTACAGTTTTTGACAGTTATGTTACCTAAATTTTATTCTAAGAAAGTAACACTCCTGGACTTGTCATTCATTCAGATAAACATGGTGACAGACCATTGATTTATTTCTTGTCTCTATCAGCTTAAACAGTACCTTCCAGAAACTATTGCATGCCAGTGTGCAGTAGATATTCAAGAGGAATGCTAACAGGAGATAACCTATAAGTACCCTCTGCAGGGAGATATTTCCCACTGTCTGGGTCACATCAGGGGAGTCTGTACAAAAGTATCCCAAGTGCAGTCACCTTCACCTTAATTTAAGGCTTAAAATCTCGGGGTTGAAATACCTTTTCTGCATACTTGTACTGGTACAGGTAACATTGAACAATTAACCCACACCAAGCAAATTTTACCTGCACCACTCTGATCTAAAATAGAATCTGTTGAGAAACTACACTGTATTTTGATTATGTCACGGGTAAACAAGTTTGTTTTCTGCCTCTCAAAGCACAGTAAACACCTTCATTTGTACATTGTACCATTTTCTTCTTCTGGTTCATTTCAGCACATTATCAAATCTAACACGCCATTGCCTTTAAGCTATAATACTGTACCAAGGATTTCTTTTGTAGCTGAGCATACCACTTCTGACAGTGATGCACATGTTGTTTTGTACAGTAGAATGCCTCTAAACTACATTCAGTCTGCTAAATCATTAGGCTTTTCTGTCTTTTGGTCCCTTTGTATCTTTAAAAACAAATTATGATTCTTTCTCTGATGAATAATACATTATGAGATAGACTTCAAAAGGCTGCTGTGTCGTGACAAAATCTTTCTCTAGCTGTACTTCAAGGATTTGTATACATCACGAACAAGACAATTACTGTACTCGCAACAATACAGACCATCCATTAGCTAGCTTCAAAAAGATTCCAGTTTGTTGTAGAAAGCTTTTCAGCCACAACTCAAGGATTTGCCAACATCTGAGTAAGACTGGTACAAGGCCATGGTCATCAAACATTATTTCTGAAGGTTATTGCCAGACAGCTGTGCAGGGAAGTGAATACAGCCCTTCATGGTATGAAATATATCACCCAACCCTATATATGGTGATTTCACTTGTTGATAACCTACACATAAATACATTTTGTACAACAAGCTGCCATAGGGGACTGAAACCCACAATACAATAAGGGTACTTCTTCCATTTGTCAAAAGCTACCTGTTACCAAAACAGAAAAAAAAATCAAGACTGCAGCATGATTTCTGTAGTTTCTGCTGCAGTACCAAGTAAAGCTGCCAGGAGGCCCAAAATCAAACTTGATTGTCCTCTTCCTAGTAAGACCTACTAGCATCCACATACAGGTACCAAATATCATATCATAGCACAATCATGCCTTCTTGACTGATGGAAACATGATAAACAGACAAACAGACAGACATACAGGCACATTGTTGACAAATATTATAATAACCATACTTTTTAAGTTTTAGAATTATAGTACCTTTACTGTAACTTGTGTGACAGGTTTCTAGTGTCTGAGTTAAGTCACAAAAACAGTCTTTCATTTGTAGTTCTTAATAACCTCAGGTCCATATACAGCTGTCAGAGGTTACAAATTTAATCAAGTCTTGGCCTTGAGTTGACTCAATGAAGCGAAAAACATTTCTTCAAAAAAAATTTTGGTTTCAGTTTCGTGTTTTTTTAACCTTCTTCCTGTTGACTAACCCTGTACTCAATACACATTTGGAGGCAAAATACTTATTTTTTTCACACACCTGGTCAGTTGATCTCATCAACACTTAGGGGTCCTGAATAGACTCAATGAAGCGAAAATCATTCTTTGATCATTCTGTGACAAGAGTTTTGGCTTTCAAGGCTGTTTTTGACTTTTTAATACACCAGTTCCCAGCTGACAGACGTTACAGGCTTAATCACCACTTGACCTTGGATTGGCACAATGAAGCGGACTGCCTTTCCTGAGGGGCATGTTGGTCGGTGTTACTCAGCCCGGTCCCTGACTCACTATTACTGAGAAACACAAGCTGCCAGCCAGCCAAATTTAGCCCCAAGATGTAGGACAAAGGTTTGACATTCTGCCAAACAAACACTTTAACTGCAGACGCCTGGAAACGAGCCAGCGTGAGTCAGCCTAATACATGCAGATAAGCATCCAAAAATACAACATCGGGCAACTGGCTGTTTTCATCCATCATGGCACACACAAATTTTTAATACATTGTCTCTAATAGAAGGAAACCAATTTGTCTGTCACACCTGCAATATTAAGGTGTGACAACTTTTTCTATTTATAGCTGAATCATAAAGGCAACATATAAAACAGGTCACACCGGATTAGTCAACTCAGTCACGCAAGCACAGGCTAACCTAGTAACGTCTGAGTGGCGCACGTACCCTGGCTATTTTTACTGTTTGATCAGTAATGCTAAAAATGACGGCAGCTATCTGGTGCAGTGGCTGTTTTAGTGACAAGCGGCTGACCCATTTTGCCACAATAATGACAGAGAACAAATAAGACTCGTAGATAAGCGATGACAGGCTTGTAGACTGAGGCAGGGCTGTAGCGCTAAGCAAGGTGTGCCAAGAAAAGGTGTGTTAGTTACCTGGGCTAGCAGGTCAGGACTATCTGTTGGTTATTAGGCACTGCTGTGTCCATGTGTCGGCGGGAGGGTTCCTTCATCGACG